TCCCGCTCCCCCCCGCCCTCGCTGTAGCGCGCCCTGTGCCCCGCCTCCTCGTTCTTCTTGTTCCCGCTGCTGCCTCTCCCAAAACCCCTCTTCGTGCTTCCCCCCACAAGTCCTGCTGCCCTCTGCCTACCTCTGCCGTGCTGGGGGACAGTGAGTAGCCGCAGGATGGTAGGACTTGCGCCTGAGCCTGCCCCAGCCGGGGCGTTTTCCTGTGTTTCTGCCGGTGCAAGAGCGAGACCCGCAGCTGTCCCAGGGCCTGCGAGCAAGGTGCTGGATGTGCACCTCCTCAAGGTGGCAAGTGGGGTCTTGTGGTCCCCCTGAGGTGCTCCCAGCACCAGTTCAGAGCCGCCGGCCGGGGCATCGCCCCTGGGACACCACCACCGGGGCATCACCACCAGGATGCTCCAACACTGGGGCATCATCACAGGGACTCCACCACCGGGGCATCACCACCAGGACATCACCACCAGGGCTCCACCGCTGGCTCTTGGCGCTTCATGTGCCAAAAGCCTTCGCTGGAGCCCATGCAGATCCCCTGCAGCTGCCCAGTTCGTGGCTGGGGAGGAGAAGGGCTTTGCCTGTCGGCTGCAGGGGATCGCCAGCCTGCAACAGGGCACGGTGTGACCTCGGACACCAAAGCTTCTGCCCCAGGTGCTGGCACAGGCCACGCATGTGGTGAGCCGGGTGACTCCCCCTTCCTCGAGCAGCCAAGCCCCACATCTCCGCGTTAGTAAAAGATGGACAAACCTCATTGTCTTGGGAGCAGTATTTGGGTTTTTATGGCACACTGAAAACCCGCTACTCTACTGGGTGATCTGCACATACTGCAATTTATGTTCCTCAGAAGATACAAGGGACTCAGCCCAGCCCATGTAAATATGTTTTCAATTGTTGCCTTTGGAGGTGCCACAAGGCCATTTTGTCCTTGTTTTCTCATCCGCAACATTTGTTTCCTTTTCAGAACATTTATATTTTATTAACACATTCCATACAGCTTACTTGTCATTGCATGGTGGGATCACGCCTGGCAAATATTTATCTTGCTTCAGTAACAATTTTTAAACAACCTTCCCAAGTTTTCAATGATACGGGTAATCTATCGCACAACTCTGCCGGCTCGTGGCATCCTCCTTCGGCTGCCCTCGCCGTGGCGGGGCTGCAGGAACCCCACAGCTTGGCCAGGGAAACAGATGCACTCCTGGGCTCCACGGCTGGAATTTGCAAATGCCACAAACAATCAAATAAACAAAGAGATTTCCCCGTGTTGTGGGCAGATTTTATCTAAGCATCCGCGCACAGCCGCCACAGACATACATATATAACCTATGATCTGCACACAGATGCCCTCAGTTCGTTATTCTGGTAAATGTAACTGCCTTTTCTCATGCTGGCCAAAAACATCCTCCAGAGTGTTCAAAATACAAAAGAAAATATTTTTGCCTTATTTTTCCCATTATTTTGTTTATTTAAATTTTATCTTCCCTGTGATTTCACTTATTCTTTTCTCTTTGAACGCAATAAACAGTTGACATAGCCCTTGGAAACCATCTAGAGCCGTTTACAATATTTATGGTATCACCCAGTATTTTTATTGGAATATTGAATCACCCCAGAGAATTGCACTGAAGCCACAGATTCTCTGGTAAATTGTTTAATTATGTAACTTTGTTCTCCTGGTGACAAGCATTTACAAACTCTCCTTTTACAAACAATGTAATTGAGTTAAAAATTGCATGTAGCAAACCAAGCTAATGGAAACCAAGGCAGATCCCATGGGCTCCTCCCTGTTGTCCTGCTCATCCCTTGGCATCGGGCAGGCTGCAGTGCTGCAGGCAGCTCTCCCCTCACCCCCTGGTTTATTTAAGGATGGAGGCTGCGATCCTCAGAGCTGGACAGAGTGGAAAAGGGCTGAATTCGGGCTATATCAGGGCTCAGGTGGCTCCTCATGCCCAGCTAAGGCACTTATTGGCTCTGAGGTTGTGTCCTCAACCTGCAAAGCGTGGGCACAGGGGTAAACCCTCCTGTGTGTGAATTCACAGCGCTGACTCCCATCATGGCTCAAAATTACGGATCTTGGCCAATTCCCCCAGCAAAAGGATGCTACAGGCAGGGCGGGCAGTGGGAGGAGGGCTGTGGGGACTGGCCACCCAACAGAGGGGCACAGGGGCACAGGGGAGCACCCTGGGTCACCACAGGCTGCCATGCTGGAGTTATCCCTAAAACGTGCAGGAAACAGGACCCACAGGGCGACCACCGATAATGGTCGGCATTTCCGGTGAACGCCCCCAGGGTTAGGATAACATAAAAGAAAACGCGTGCAGCCTTGCGTCGTAAGGAGAAAGATCTCTGAGCTGTAAACGAGCATGCAATAAATGTAGGTGCCTGGTGAGCTGGCTCCATCCCAGCCAGCTGTAACACTGGTGCCTGCTCTTGGATTATAATTCTCGTCAATAACTGAATTGAGCTTGGCCAGTTTGGTCCCCTGAATCCCTTGAACTTTCAGGGGCGAGTTTGGTCCCCTGAAACCCCTTCCTAAGGGTCAACTGTAATTAGAGAAAATGTGCTCGAGTATGTGATGAGCATTGCTGAACACCATGTCTTCCTTTTTCCAGGATGGACTTCTCTCTCCTCTTGTATTTATATTTTCATTTGTGATTTTTAAAGCCTCTTTTAGCTGCTGCAACCCTGAGATAGAGACTAACATTTTCAGTAATCACAGCCGGGTTGTGTTACCAAACACAGGCTGCTGTTTCAAACGCCAGGCTCTTCAGGAAGCACATTCCTGCGGCTCAGTCCTGGAGTTGTGTTGTTCGGCTGTGAGGCAGGAACGCGCCCTCGTGCCTCGCAAGTCCAGCAGCCAAGAGTGAGATAAGGATCAGGTGGGGAAATGGCACTGCCAAGACACACAGTCCCGAGAGGAGGAGGAAAGCATGGCAGGAGGGAGCGAGGCTAGAAACATGCCGGCAGACATGAAGCATGAGCAAGTCCTGGTGGATCCAAGCCCTCCAGACCTTCTCATGCAGAGCTTAAGGACAAAGCTACTGCCTTCAACACGCCCAGAATATCCATTAACTACAAATGGTATGATAAGAAAGATGTACTTTAAAAACCACAAAGGAAGATGTTTATCCCTGCTGTACATCATAGCAGGTTTTCACCTTTTTTTTCAGAGGACCATAACCCCCAGCCACGTGCAGCATTGACACAGCAGCTGCATTTCTGTACATACTGATATCATCTTTTTGGCCACCTTTTGTAAACACACCATAAAGCTCTGCCTATACTCCCTAGGACCTCGCCTCCTTGCTGTCTGTGCTAATAATGTTTATTGCCTTGCCAGAGAACAGGAAGCCTCCAAAAAGTGTTGGGGTGGCAGATAAACGAATGCTGAGTGACCATGGCGAAAAATATCAGTTATTTCTTCTCACACTGAAATCAAATTTTGAGAAGGAGGGAATTGCTCAGGCAAACTGCAGATCATGTAGCCAAGAGTGGGTTTTCCCAGCGGCTGCCTAGGACTGTAGCTCCCCTCTGGCTTTCCACCTGGCGTGATGGGGAACCATGTGTGGGTGACATCTCCCCCAGTTCATAACACAACTCACCCAAAATGTAAAGGCTTGAGCTCCAGGGAGAAGCTGCAGGGCCAGAGATCATGGGCAAGATCATGCTGCATCCCCAGCATCCCAAAACTTGGAATATGAGCCCAGACACAGAGCTGTAGTGCCTGCTGCCCACCACGAGCTGGCCTCATATGCAGGGTCTTGGGGGAGAGAGAAAACTGTAGTCATGCACTCTCTGAGTGTCATGAGAGCTGGTCATGATTTCAGAGCTGTTTAAACTTCTTCAACATGAATTACAAATCCTATTGTAAAGCTCCTTCCGTGAGCACCATTGGTTTCTGTCGGCTGGTGTTCATGTTTGAAGCCATTCTTCCCCAAGTGTGTGATCCCTGTGCAGCTGTCTGTTTGTATCAGATACAAGGTTTTAGAAGAGGTATTTTTAAATACTGTATTTCCATTGAAATTAGAGCATATGAATAGGAAGCTTTTATTTAATCTATAAACCAGGTAGGTGGTTTGAAATGCTTTTAATATGCACTGTGACTTTGAGAAGAAACAAAACCAAAACCTTTGATCAACTGCTGCCCATATTGCAGGCCAGATATCCAACAGACTAAAGCTGAAAGGACACGCATGATCCAGTATTGCCCATCTCGTTTCCCAAAACTATGAGTTGGAGCAAAAAAAGTTGGCACCACTGGTCTCCAGAGCAGAGACAGAACATGTATCCCCCTACATAGAAGAATAATGATTCTTTAAATATTTCTCCTAAATGCTCCGTTAAGTTAGCATGTGGAATGACTGAAAAAGCTCTTTCAAAAACATATCACACGTTCCTCATTCTTCACCCAACCTGTTTACTTTTGCCTGTGTCAGAGGGGTGTGCCTGCACCACAGGCACGATGGTCACTGGTGCAGACCTTCCCCAACCTGATCCTGTACTGTAGCAAAAAGCTTTACCAGCACCAGCTCCACAGAGCGCTGGGCTGGAGCTTGCGTTGTTTTAACCGTGTGATTAAATGAGCTATGACCTGCAGTCACATACCAGCTCGCAATGCGGGTTGTGGTCATTTGCACTTACCCTTCAGCAGCAGCGCCTGTTGCATGGCGCTGGGAAGGCTGTGCAAGCCCACCCCCAGCCTGTGGCAGCACATCTTCCCTGTGCTGGTCCCCACCCCAGCTGGGTTACAGCAAACTTCTGAACATCGCGTGTGCTTCACTGCACACGCATGTACTTCACCACAGTGCAACCCGCCCAGCAACTGCAGTTGGCATGAACAGCACCGAGGGAGAATGTTTGCATTGTGTTAAATAGTTTTGAAAGCCTTCTAGGCATATCAAGTTTTGTAAAATCCTTGTCTTACGAACTGGACTTCGGGATACATGAATTTAGCCTCAGACTCAGAAGAAAATCTTGCATCCAAGTGCAAGTCCCAGTGTCTTTTATGCAGTAGCCAGCAGGAAGGTTTCTGTTCCACTGTGCAGAAAAATAATGTTACTTGCAAGGAAAGTTGAATACTGAAATGCTTTGCCTAATGGAGCACTGTGCAGGGGGAAGGAGATAAGCTTGAGAGACTGATCCTTTCTTTCCAACAGAAGAAAAAGGTAAGAGTGCAAACTCAGTCATGCTGCTCTTTTTTTTTTAGCTTTGCAATGGTCACTCCTTTCCTAGCAGGCTTTCTTTGGCTTTGCAACCCACCCACCCAAAAACTATAATAAACTGTCAATCTCTTGTGGGCTCCCTAGAGGATTAGTAGTCTAGAGGAGTGAAGCTCTGCATCAGAGAGGGTCTGCAGTCAGCGAGGAGAGGAGATTCTTACTCCCGGCTCAAGTGAGAGACTGGGGACAGAGCTGTCATTCCAGCAACCAAAGCCGTTCCCTGCCACATCCTCGTTTCTAGACGAATTCGCGGTAAAACGTCCCCAGCCCCCCTGCGCGGGCAAACCTCAGCCGCACGGAGCGGCCACACGCCCAGCCCCGGGTCCCGGTGCGGCGGAGCGGGACCCCGCCAG